TGAACAATTTCAGAAATTTCAATGTGAATAACAAAACAACTGGGAAATGAATAGTTTTGAGGACAAAGTCACCATTTTCAAATGTATTCTGCATAGTGTAGATCAGTGTTTCGTACGTCTGTCTTCGCGCTCGTACACACCGGGATGCTTTTCACTTCCAGTGTTTTTTGAGATATTTTTCTGCATTCAAACCTAGGCAATTTTTATCGACATTGAGCAGAGTGAACGAGCAAAATTATGCCCTGACATTAGATGCCGCTTAATGAACTTGCAAGTCATGAAAGAAAGGTAAAATGAAACTCGTCAAATCCTATTCACTGCTCTCCGCTCCTACTGACTTTATTGTAGTTGTTGTATTTATCATATCGCTACCCTATCATACACCTAACGCAAAAAGACGCAAGATGTTTTTGCCCTGCCATATTGCTATTTTGAGACCAGCACTACAGTAATTTTGGCGCTTTGCGCCACATTGTTTTCATAGCAAATCCATTTGCGCCGATTGTGAACTTATGGATGGGTTGGTCTAGAAAGGAGGTGTGTTAAGGCACATTGTTTGCACATTGCTATTTTGAGGAACTAAAATAGACTGTGCAATAGACCAACTGAAAGCAGGTCTAAAGTCCAGCGCAGATCACGTTAGTTGCGCGCCTTAAATGCTTACACATTGCTGAATACACACAGGATGTACAGCAATACACAAATATCTTTACAAATGAAAAAGAATTAAAGGATTAAAATATTACAAAAATGATTACTTTCTACATAAATATAAAAACCACTGCCTCCATGTGTTCGGGGGGCTTTTTTTTGTTGTTGTTTGTTTGTTTATTCATGAAAATTTGAATAATGTTATTATCGTTATTATTTACAATATGCATATTTATATTTGTCTTATTAAAAACAAGCTTAGAATTGCTCGCCTGTCGGATTATGGCCCATATGGGGCATAGGACTGTGTTTGGATATAACTCTTTGTTGGATATAACCACGCTCGTTATTATTGTTCATTTATTTGTTTGCTGGAAATTAAAACTGAATGTTGAAGTAGTTTTGAAACAAATCTTTGCGCTTAGCAAACAAAATTAATGATGTAGGCTAATGGATGTCTTCAGTGGATTGTATACAACACAGTTTCCTTATCCACAAAAGAGAAAGAAATGAGGTCGATTGGAGGAGGCTTGTTATTTATCCTTGTGCTGCAGATGGTTTGTTTAACTGTTTTCTCACTAGTAAAGTGTTCAGTTTTTCCATTTACAAATCCCCCCATGTAAATAGCAAATGTGCCATGGCGTGACCCAACTGACTTTTAAAGGGAATGGGAGATGAGACTCTGATTGGTTTATTCTCAAAACGCACCTATAACTCATTAAGAGAATAAACACATCCCTGTTAGACCTTGCGCCGCTGTACGAACGTTTTTTTCCATCCACCGCCCCGATGAGGATGCACTGAGAAGCTGTTTTTCCACATGTCAATATTTATGAATAGAATACACCAAAAAGGACAAGAGTAATGTTGAAAAACTCTACATCAGTTTAAAGCTACAACCCCTAAGCACCCATTGCAGCTAGTCGTTTTTCAATGGAAAGCTTATAAAGAATGTGTTTGCTAAATTTGTGTAAGTTTTGCCGAAAACGCTTATTAGATATGGCGTACATATCATGTACTAACAACACAGACAAGTATTCATTGCTGTACATCACGGTTTATTTTGGAAGGTAAGAGTCCACAGAAAAACATCCTATCAAGCACATTTAGTCCACCAACACAATAGTGTTGAATTATGGATGGTTAGTCATTTGTTTATGTCACCTTTTCTGCCGGAGACCTATTGTTTACACCGTTTTACCATAGTACTAACATGTGAAAACTGCATCTTTGTAGGAAAAGGAAAGTCTATGTCATAGCTTACAGTGTTACAGATAAAATGAGACCACAAACTTAATAAAAAGTCAAAGTTATAGTTACTAACATCTAAACAAAGCCCAGTGTTTAGCAAAAGTGCCTAGATCGTTAAATTGAGCCCAAAGTGTTCTGACAGTAATGGAAAAAGCCGCTTAACATTCATCTTATCTCAGTGTGTCATCATCTTCATTGAATGAAAGTGAAACTATACCGTTACACTTTCCCCATTCAAAACTATATGTGACTATAGTTACACGTCTTGTGTATTCTGTAGTCTTTGTTGACACACAGGGATCATTTAATGGATGTATCTGTGCACCAGTTGATCATCTGAATCAGGTGTGTTAAAGGGGTGGTCCAGAAAGTATTTTTAAGGCCTGGTTGTGTTAATAAGATGCAAATCAATGTGTGTTTATGTTTCACTTGAAGGAAATCGCTCACGCTCACGCTCAATCTGCCCAGTTGGTGGAATGAACTCCCTAACTGCATCAGAACAGCAGAGTCACTCGCTATTTTCAAGAAACGACTAAAAACTCAACTATTTAGTCTCCACTTCACTTCCTAATCTGCAATTGCCTCTTTGAATATCACACTAACTGTACAAAAAAAAAAAAAAAAAAAAAAAAAAAAAAAAAACTACTAACACTTCCCTTCTTAGACTTTACAGACCTGAAACTTGCCTTTAGTACTTATTCATTGTTGCTCTTAGTTGTGTAAATTGCTTCCTTGTCCTCATTTGTAAGTCGCTTTGGATAAAAGCGTCTGCTAAATGACTAAATGTAAATGTAAATGTAAATCTTGTTTTTTTTTTCATATATCTCACTTTGATTATACACAACTACTCAGCTAACATGAAAACGACTGTCATTTTTTGCTAGTTCCTCTAAAATGCCCGCCCTCAAGTGACTCTGATTGGTCATCATCATAATGTGCTGTGATTCACGGATCGGCACAAGCCCGTTCAAGCACGCGCGTTTTTTGTCAATCAGTCAACAAGTCTGTAACGAGTAAAAATGGGATGCGGCTCCTTTAAGAGTGTGTTTGTGTGTCATTGTGTGTGTGTTTACGAGTGTGTGTGTTTGTGAGTGTGTATACCTGTAACACAAATGTACGCTGGACCAATGTTTATTTTCCTTTTTCTCTCATGCTCGGATTAAGTTATTTTCTGTGGTGACGCTGCTGACAGAATAAAGCACAAGATGTGGGATGAGACCTGTGTGAGCCTGTATTGAATTTTTTTTGGTGCTACACTCGAGTTAGGAGAGAATTGCTGTATTTTTTACACATATCCGGAATATGCCTGTGTAAGTAACATGAATCGTTCACATATCTTTTGCGACTTCATTGACTGAGATGTAAAACCATGGAAAAGCTGCCGATAGAGAAACTGTCGTCGCACACAGAGAGACGCACGTGCTGTGCGTGTATGTGTCTGTGTTTACAGCAGTTTGACTGATAAATATGGATTTGTAGCTAAATCGTTTGCGGTGGCGATCATCATTTCCCGTGTTTTTCATCTTGGCAACAACACACTGTTAAGATTAGACACTGTACATGTCATGATCAATTTTAACAAAAAAAAAAAACACAGGTCGTGGCTCAGAGTTCAAAGCATCTCCTTGTAGTTGCTCCATCTTTAAGGAGATTTTAGCCGAATCCAGCACTGAATTGGGAGAGATTCTGGAAGCTGTTTTTTTTGTCAAATCATGCTTGCTTTGTATTTTAGAATTCTCTGGAACATAATTAATATTGTAGGGAGAGTTTACAGTTTAACCCAAAGAATGACTGGTAGATGAAGAAGAGCCGGAGTCAGAGATTTAAATAAATAAATCAAGTTTACTGAAGATAGTTTGCAGTTTCATTCGCAGAAGCCAGCTTCAACACTCGCAATGAGTTCCTAGGCCGCTCTGCTTACAATCACCAATCAATAATAATTATACTCTCACATAACGTCATTAACTGCGTCATACATATAGGTGTTCTAACCTGATTGGTTAAAACACAGATAAACTAGGAACATTTCTACGTGTGGTTCGTGCGTACAATTCTGAACAATATCTAAACATAAACGTCAGACATCCTTTAGACTGATTAGAGCTGACTCCAGACCTGTGAAATTGATCAACAATCAAATAGAACACACACACTTAAAGTATAATCTGTTTCTTATCCAAGACTGACTGTACTGTCAGCCTTCTTTATCGAAACTGGTTAAAAACTGGTATAATCTACATTCAGGCAGTTATATTCTTACTATACAAAGTCTATCTTGAATAAAAAGTAGAATCACTTTAAAAGATTTAACCGTAAAAATAGCAAAATCACTTTAGACATTTTAGACAATATTAACTCGTAGAAATAACAATAGAAACAGTTGTTTCCAGCCCTCAGCCCTTAGTTCCACTCAAGGTCTCCATGACCTCTGACCTAGTTTGCTGGCTCCTGAAAATAGGTATAAAGAGACTGGCAAATGCACTGAACATTCTTATATTAAGCAATGTGTTAACTTATTCATTAATTAAAATCAATTCACAGTTAAATACTGAGAAACAGGATGATGAAAAGGATAAACGTTGGTCCATGATGAGACGGATTGGAAAGCAGAAATCAGAATCCTTCAATATTGAACTGTAAGCACTTCTGTGTTTGTGTCGTGTCATTTGGAAGCCCAAATACAGAAACAGAAGAAGCTCTGTGAAAACAGCAGGATGGCATTTCTCCCTCTGCAGTAACGTTACAGCGCCTCTGGCCACAGCCCTTAGCTGCGCAGTGTGTATACGAACCTTTGTGATCTCACAGGGGGCGGAAGTAGTCCCCAAAATTCGTTCATTGTAGGCTTTGCTAAGCTAAAAACTGTAAAAACCAAGTCTCCTTTTGCATTGAACTTGCTGTTTATGTTTACACAGCTACATTACACATCAACTAAAGTTTAAAATATGATATCATAGTGGACCACCCCTTTAAGTAAGCAAGACATACGAAATGGACCAGAACTGAGAACCGCTGGTGTAGATGTAGCCTTAAAATGAAATAGTCTTTTGATCATTGGTTTTTAAATGCTCACACTTACATGCTCCCTGTTTATTTTGTAGCAGGTGAACTGGTCCATCTCCCCCCTTACCTACGCATGGACTTCCTTTTGAACCGGGGAGCGGCCTCTTCAGGTCGGGAGGCCACAGGACAGACTTGTATGGACCCACAGAAGAGCCGGATTACAAAGCGGCCGGCGTTGCTTGCCCCCACCCCCTCCGAGACCCCCTCTTCAGCCCTCTCTTCCTCCGGGCCCCCCAGCAGAGAGGCGGTACAGCAGTGGCAGCCGGGAACTGCCTCTACACTGCCACAGCGCGAGCCGGGCGACCTGGCCCAGGCCGCCAAACTCAGCAGCTCCCAGGAATCGCTGCTAGACTCCAGAGGACACCTGAAACAAAGCAACAACCCCTACGCAAAGTCCTACACACTTGTATAACACAGGACTACAGCTACGGACCACGTTGCACTGTCACGCACACACAGAAACAAACAAACAAACAAACAAAAAACGTGAGGACCTGCTGCAAAGACGAGAGCTTTTCTGATTCAGAGATGAGTCCTGTACATACATTCTGAATTCCTAAAGAAGTGGATAGTTTTCTTTGCATCTGTCTTTCTATCTATCTCACTCTCCCTCTCTCTGTTTCTCTCTGTTGTTTTTTTTTTTTTACTCTTTCTTCCTTTCTTTCGCTCACCTCTCTTCCCTCTTCTCTAAGTTGGAATCTTTTTATTTTATTTGACGTACGTTATTTTAAATACCACCGTTATGAAGATTGCCAAAATTATTTATTTAAATTGACAGAGGAACTACTTTTGAATTTATATCAAGGATAATTCTATAGTCATTATTATTATTATATAAAAATAGAGAAAAAAAAAATTATCAAAAAATGCTTTTAAAAGGGCGGGGCGAGGTCAGCTCTGCAGGAAGATGTTGCTTTCTTTATCCGTGACTCGATTGTTTTGAAGAATCCATGAGGTGCGATCAAAGATTTCCAAGAGGAACGAGTCCAACGTGGGAGACACACGTCCACAGTTTCCAGTCGTCTCAGAATGTCGTGCTTTCTAAGGACTGCATGGGGACCTGCAAATAAAAAAAGATTTTTTTTTTTGTCACACTAAGGGATTTTATAGTGTTATAATATGTATTATGGCATTATATGTCATAATATATGTTACAACATACATATAAATATATAAATATATATATATAAATATATGAATACACATGAAGAGATCACTTTTATTTGTGGATAATACAGGGAAGAAAAAAAAGATTTGGTAAATAAAGTCCTTAGTCATGTTTGCACACATCTGGTTTGATTAGAAAATTGAAACTGTTGGGTTCTCTTGTCTTTTTTTGTGACTGCGTAACGGTAGTTTCATCTGATGATACTGCGGAGAGCACGTGTGACGCAAAGAGAGAAGCGCGGGAGGAAAACAAACGTCAACCTCGGCGGTTTTCTCCAGCGGCTCCTTGAATGAACGAATGAATGGTATCTGATTCACCTGTTTGTAGATGGTGTGGCCTGTTTTTGTGTAAGACACGCAACAAAGAGAAGATATTTTAATTGAGCAATATGACACTGGATTTACTAATAATTTCGTAATTCTTGGACATCTTGAAGTACTAACAGATATGAATGTATTCAGTAATGCATAATGAAAAATAAACCCGAAGATGATTGACAATAAAGAGACAAACTAATGACACAGTCTCTAAACTGTAATTGAAAAACATGGTAGACAGACGTTATGATGGTGGGGGAAAGAATAGATTTCTTCCTGCTTATTCTTGAGTTTTCAAGTTTTCCTTTCGAATGCAGGTCTAAACGTCAGATTATGCTTCTTTTAGTATGAGATCAAAATGACAAATCCTTTGTGTAAGGATTTATGTAAACCCTTATTCAGTAAGTAAAACATCATGGTAAGCAGAATTTCACTATTTTACTCACTATTTCACTATCTTATTTATTTATTTATTTATTTATTTATTTATTTATTTATTTATTTATTTATTTTGTCTATTGAGCACAATGGGGGAAAAATAGGGGAAGCCAGTAACCACTGACATCCATAATAGGAAAATGAAATACTATGGTAATGGGTACAATGTAAAAAATGCAGGGTTCAACACAATTGATTCATGTTGTCCCAACACAAATCGATTAAGTTAACAAGTTTAAGTAGACTAAACATAAAACAATTGATTTGTCCCCAAAAAAATCTCAAGAATTGTGTTTCAGCTAATTTTAAATGAGCTGAACAAGCACCTATATATATATATATATATATATATATATATATATATATATATATATATATATATATATATATATATATATACATACACACACACACACACACACACACACACAGTCGAAGTCATAATTATTAGCCCCCCTTTGATTTTTGATTTTTTTAAATATTTCCCAAACGGTGTTTAAGAGAGCAAGGAAATTTTCACAGTATGTCTGATAACATTTTTTTCTTCTGGCGAAAGTCGTATTTGTTGTATTTCGGCTAGATAAAAAGCATTTAATTTTTTAAAAACTATTTTAAGGTCAAAATTATTAGCCCCTATAAGCTATATATTTTCTCGATATTCAACAGAACAAACCTTCGCTATACAATAACTTGCCTAATATTTCTGATTCATCTGTGCGTGCGTGCGTGCGTGCGTGTGTGTGTGTATGAGACCCAAAGAAAAAAATAATTTTTTTTTTGTTTTTTTTTTCTGTGATTTCCTACATCTTTTGGGTTAAAAAATTCTACAATTTAGTTTTTACATTTTGTTTTTATTTTGAATTTTACAGCATGTCCACTGTAGTGAACAACAGGACCATTTTAATTTGAAACGACAGCCACTCAAACAACAAAACTGTACAGGATATGGCTGTAAAAGGATTTTAATCCAATATAAATGTAACAAAAACAAAACAAAAGCCTTTTTTTTTCCTTTTGTATTGATATCCTGAAACAGCTTAGTCTGAAAGAGAGCTGAACTCAAAAAAAGAAAAGAAGAAGTGATGTTAATCTAAAACAAATTTAACAAAATAGTGATTTAAAACTGATTGTCATTCTCTAATTGTCTCTAATTCTCTTATTTTCAGACTCTATAAGTCAGAGTCTCCCTCAACTATCTTATAAAGAATCCTCTCTGCTTCAGTTCTGCCCCCTACAACATGCAGTCAGTAAATACATTAAGATGGTCCTGGTGTCCACTATAGTGGACATTTAAAAAAGGATAATAATTTGCAACAAAAACAAGTTTACAGCTTTGAAAGCTAAATGTATTGTTCCTGACACTTTAATAAACAAATGTAAATGTAATAATAATAATAATAATAGCAAAAAAATAATATTTTTAAAAGCTAAATTCTACATGCCTCTCTCCTTCTCATAAAATTTGCTTTATTGCATATCGGCCATTTTGGATGCAGTGTAAGAAGTGGTTCCTAGCATGCCAGCCAATTAAATGACATATCACTAGAAAGCCCTCTGAAGCCTGTCCTCTGAACAGTTCAACAGGACTTGACAGAGTAGCTAAAAATCATAGAAAATTAATGAAAACACAATGTCCACTACAGAGGACACAAGTCAGTGGGCGGGGTCTCAGGAGGATATATATATATATATATATATATATATATATATATATATATATATATATATATTAAGGGTGGAGCCGAACCCGAATACGGTATTCGGAAAGGCACGAATAGCGTGTTTTTACGAATACTTGATTCGAACAAATACTTGAAAAATTATTTGTATTCGGGAGCAAGAAAAACACTGTATCAAAAAGCAGCGTTTCCTCATGAGACCACAGTGCATGCCCGCGTGAGTGAGTGAGTGAGTGAGTGAGTGAGTGAGAGAGAGAGAGAGAGAGAGAGAGAGAAAGAAAGACACACGCTCAGTGCAAAACGCGCCAAAGCCCGAAATTGAAAGCAAGACGTGACTGTTAAGGGACTGTTTCATATGGATTTATTAATCATTCTTACTGTTCAGTGATCGCAAACTGCCGTAGTTTATTAAAGACGCAAACCCCTCACTGCACGTCAGCTGTGCGCCTTCAGCAGACCTCCTCATTCCTGCAGCACGAGAGCTTTATGATTGTTTATGCGCGCCAAAAGTGGCGGATCTGTCCGGTAAAATATCTGACTGCGTGTCACCGCATCCCTAAGGACTGTTTGGCGAAATATTTGACTGCATGTCACTGCATAACAAACGACTGAAACGATATAACTAGAGAAATCTCCACTGTGCCACTGTGCGTATGGCAAGCCGTTTTAGCATTTAAACCTTGTTCAGACTATCCATAAATATATTTAGATATATCTCTAATTATATTTTGACTTGTCATAATTATAATTCAGATTGGAAATATCTGCAAATATATTATGACTGACTAGTCATATTCCTCCATTGAAAAATATTTGCAGATATCTCTAAATAAACAAACAAACAAACTTTGTGTCTTTTTTTGTGGCAGGCAGATGATAATAGGAGGGCTGTATCTTTTAGTATTATATAGAATACTTTTGTTCTGCCAGATCTCCCAGGCAGGGTTTTATTTAGATTTATTTAGCTTATTTTTGGAATTCTGTCCATTGGAAAAAAGTTCTTTCAGAAGAAGAACAGTTTTTTGAAGTATTATTTGTTTTTATTCTGTCTATTCAGTGTCCTTAAACAAGAACGGTGGTGGTGGGGTTCATAATATTCACAATGGTATTTTATTAGTTGTTGGTTTAACCATGGATGAGATAAAGGCTTCTATGTTATTTTCTTTTCAATGACATTTCTTATCACATGTTCAAAAACAACAGCCAATATTGCATATCTATAATTTATATAATGGGTATAATTAAACAATACTTTCACTATAACGTAAATTAGAAGTGTAATAGAAAAAATATATATTTCTGCGCCATTTTGAATTTTACTCGAATACAAATACAAATACTTTTCCCCCTCAACAAATACAAATACAAATACAAATACCGGCTGCTCCGCACATCCCTAATATATATATACATATATATACATATATATATATATATATATATATATATATATATTATTATTATTATTATTATTTATTTATTTTTTTAATTTATTTATTTTGAGTGTACCGGTTTATGCAATTACTCAATTCTTCAAAATATCTTCCTTTGTGCTCAACAGAAGAAAGAAACTAAAAACTGGTTTGTGACGAGTCAATTGTAAGTGAAGACAGAATTTTTCAGATTTGGTTGAACTATACTTTGTGTAAAAACCAATGTCATGATGCAGAAAAATATTAAGCGTCCAGCTCAGAGGAACACATGAGGATGTGTTGTTTACATACAGAGGCAGCCTTCAATGATTATAACCAATAGAGGGCACTGCTATATCTTTTGAAATGGTTACAATAGCAGTTCTGTCTGTTGCCTGTAGAAGGAGCTGTTCCTTTTTGTTTATTTTTTTGCAGATTTATTTACAACAAGATGTAAACCAACACAAGTCGTTCATTAACTCACAGTACATCAAATTTTATTTATCTATTTATTATTATTATTATTATTATTATTATTATTATTATTATTATTATTATTATTATTATTATTATTATTATCTTTTAATAAAGAAAAGGTCAAATACCACATGAAAAAATGCAAAAGGGCATGTTTGCTCACAGAAAAAAGCATCTGGTAATTAACAGTTTCCGTCTTTTGTGATTCACCAGTGTTTTTAATTTATTTACTGTTGTGAATTGCATTATGGGATGTTGATTTCTGTCGACTTTTCATGTTGAAAATTCAACTCTACAGTTTAACAAAATGACTTTTACATTATTATATAATGTAAAAGAATTTTTTTTTTTTTTGAGATTGTGAAGTATGTTATATATATATATATATATATAATTTCTTATACATTATATAATAATGTAAAAGTCATTTTGTTAAACTGTCATTTAATAAAAAATTACAACCCAGCCATTATTTTACTTTAAACTTGTTTAAAGTGAAATAAATTGTTTATAAATGTCACTTTCGAATTTTTCTAAATTAAAAGTTGATGAAAGAAAGATTAAGCTCCCATAATGTAATTCAAAAGCAAAAATAAATGAGGTAAAATCTAAAAAAAAAAAAAAAAAAAAGGAATAAAAAAATATGGAAAACTTTAAAAAAAATACAGATGTTTTTTACAAAATGTAAATTCATGTCTTCTTACTAACACAGTATCACTACATTTTTGATGATCCCTAACACATTTTGTTTTTTGTAAGTTCATGATCATGTTACAGTTATAGTTATAAACATGAAAGTTGGTCCAACTACCTGGTTATGTGATGTGTAGTTCCCAGCATGCTTTATGTTGGGTTGATTGGCAGCTTAATTACCCAAACTGCAGTTTGTTGCTTTGCTCAATGAGCAATAACTTTCCTAAAATCAGTCTCAATCAATTGTATATGTAACTCATGAAATATGCTTAAAATGGTTCTTTTAGTTCATTTAGGAAAACTTAAAATAAAGCTAAGAGACTTTGAAATGTACAACACATCATAGACATATATAATATTCTCAGACCTTTGAGTTTAAGTTAAAAAAACAAATGTATTCAAACTTTTATTTGATAAAATCATGTTGGACCAACTCAATTGCATTTAATTGTATATATGTAGTTCGTTTGGCATTAACTATACTATACAATCATGCACAGAAA